CATAAATGCATGTGCAGTGCTGGCAAGAAATGTGAGGCACCGTTGTTCATAAACGCAAAAGGCTGGCGGCGCATAGTAGTGGCCCCAGCAGCATGCTGATCCGACATGGCAGCCAAGGAAGTCTGTGAAGAGCAGCCTCTTTCAGCATGTGAACCAGAACGTTGACTTGTTCGAGGACAGCCGGCGTAATGTGGAATACATGCGCGCACACACCAAGCACGCGTGGTGTTTCACAGTTCCAAAGCCAGTGGAGCTGGCTAAGTGGCTAAGTGCATGTAGATTTGTCGCAGATTCCTGGCACATTTTGACATAATGTCAATGTTGCGAATGTGTGGTGTAGGTAGGCGTTATTGCTTTGCGCTTCCTAGCGCTTCCGGTTTCGACCCTGGAGGCCCAACTTTAGATCCCAAGCCTGCGACTTGCCTGTCCACTTCAGCCATTGAGCCCCTGGTTTGCTTGAGCCCCCACTATGTTCGCTGCGGGTGCCGTGTATCATTGTTTTGCTTCCCTGTTGGGGGCTGGCCAGGCAGGCCCGGTAGGCTCCGGTTGTATAAAGCACCAGTTGACCTAACTATTTAGGGATCCGTTTGTTGCGGGTGCTGTAGTCTTGCCAGGACAACGGTCTTGGAAAAGACTTTGGCTGGAGCGCGGCGCACCAGGCTTGTGCCGTATGCTGAACTCGAGTTTGTCAATCATAAATTCCAAAATACAGGACGAGTTGGACATGTTTGTTCGACATAGCCATGCAAACATGCTCTCAGTTTGTCGCATCGGATGCATGCAGGTTGTTTTGCCTTGTGATGCATTGTTGTTTTTGGCTGACGTTTGATCAGCAGTCAGGTGTCTCCATTTTGAGGCATGCAGGCGGCAACTGTTTGACAACCACTCGGACATGTTTGGGCTTGCGAGTTGATGGTTATGCCTACCTGTCAATGCGTCAAATGTCTCAAGCTTGGGCAGCTGAACAAAGGCATCCCAGTTGAACTCAGCTTCAGCTTCGAGAGAAGCCACCTTTGACAACGCAACTGCTCCCAGCCAGATTTGTTGGTGCGTGCATGCGCCTCAGGGAAGTCAATCTTTGTTTGTCCTTTTTTGGCCCGTTTGGACCTTCTCACATTTCAGAATCAGCTCACGAACTATGATTCCTATCGGATCGCCAGCCAATGAGCCGATCGGTCTTGGCAAGGTCTACTACTGTTTTGAAGGTCTTGGCTTGTGCACCTGCTGGGCTCATTACTTTGATTGTTTCTAGGGGTCAAAGTCAGAAAATGGGGTTGTTTCCCTTTAACCCATCACTTAGGGGGTGACTTTTTGATGATGGTAACACAATGAGGCCAGACCTGGATGGCCTCCATCACCTCGCCTTTTGCTTTTTGGCCTCCGGCCGGACATTGCGCTCTCAAGCGCTGTGACTGGATCCCCAGGCGTGCAGCCAGGGTGACCTGGGCCAGCTGAAGCTCATGGCCAAACGCGGCGCCTTGCAGCAGAAGTGCCAGGCGTGGGAGTGGCGTGGGGCGTGGCTCGGAGCTCGGAGCTGCGAATGGGAGCTGCTTCGAATCCGGCGGATTTTGAAGAAAACTGCAGCTCTTTTAGGGTTTAGGGTTCAAGAAAATGAACTTTTCTTGAACCCCTCGGGGCGCTGCGAATGGGAGCTGCTTCAATCCTGCGGATTTTGGGGAAAAGACGAGGCTGAAAGGTGACTGAGCTGCTTGGAAATCACTGACGGGAACCTTTGATCTTTCGATTTCCTGCGAAGCATTTGGAGAAAATTGGGGCAGGGGCCGGAGCCGGCCAGGTTTAAGTAGCATAGCTTGGGCAGGATGGGGTAGATCGCTTTGGGGAGGTTCTTTGCAAATTATGGCGAATGTCAGGCGGATCAGCCGGCAAATGTCATGTGGCGCCTGGTTTGGCGCATGCAAAAGCTGCTCGTCTTTTCGGAAACGAGAAGCGGGCGACGGCAGTTGCCGCCCCTGAGGTTTCCAAAGCCTTCAGTCCACAAAGGTATACTCAATCGAAGCATCGTTGGATTTTGCAAACAATTGAAAGATGCAGCTCGAATTGATGTTGTAAACGTGTTTTGCCTGGGTTTGCAATTTCAATGTCGAAACCAAGCATACACTTAGGATCCACTTGGACTTGTTTTTAGGGAGAAGCGTATCAGCCGGGATGAACGTGGGGTTGGCCAGAAAGTCTTTCCATTTACAGGCCACGTTTATTGAAAGCGGGAAGGATTTGCAACAGGTAGCGCAGTAGCACACAACATGGGATGATCAAGCACAATGCGGGTAAAGCCAACCGGCCCTGTAGAAATGACATGTGCTTTCTGCACCCCTAGTTCGTGTTTGGGCTCATCAAGCGCTAATTCGCGGGTTTAATCCCAAAATGGCAATGGGCTCATTTGATTATGAGTTGCCGCCACAGCGCAGGCAGGGAACTCCCTGCTACATGTGGGAGCACGCAGCGGCCAACTGGAGGTGAGCGGTCTACAGCTCAGGATGCTCAAGCTGTCTTTCAATCATGAATCAGGGACTTTTACTTTGGTCAACACAGCCACTACACAATGCCCAGCACTTCAAAAAACGTGGACACCAATGCCAGGTCGTTCAGTTTCTGCTGTCGAACCGGCAGGCAGGATTTCTGAGCAAAAGTCACAACTGCCAGGCTTTGTTGTGACCCGTGACGCTCGCCGCGAGTGAAGGGTCCATGGTCATTGTTCTTGGATCATATTTGATGAACTGTCCGTTGCTCGCGTTTTTGAGACCAAGACCTGCAGGATGTGAATGTGAATGCAGCCTTTGTAACCTGCCCTTGGCAGGTGGATGTGAACGTCCAGAACAAGAATGGCTGGACACCGCTCATGTGGACGGCCATCACTGGTCAGGTGGAGCTGGCAGAATTGCTGATTCAGGCTGCCTCTGACATCTACAAGAGAGATGCGGCTGGCCTGCAACGTGAGGTGCAACTTGCGCGTGGCTTTAGTGCAAGGTGCATAGTTAACGTGCGCATGGGCACTCGGGCCATACAATGATTGACTTTGGGAATTTGGGGATGAAGGAAAGAAAGAGACTGACTTGTTTGCTGGTTGCAGTTTCCTTGTCAAGCAGGAAGCTTACTAGATCTTTCAAGCGTTTGTTGTTGTTTTTCCCCTTCTTGACCAGCCTTTGCCTTTGTGGCATTACACATTCACCCCAAGTTCCCAGAGCAATGGAGTCCATGGCTGTTGCAAAACAGTCCAGCGCCCATTACTTTTTTCGATGCTTAGGACTGACTTGGCTTGTGCAAAGCATCAAGCAAGACGCGTAAAACTGCCATGGCACCGCAGCAAGAAAGACACATTGAATGTGCAAACCAAGCTTAGATGTGTTTGGCAGAAGGAGAGCCTGAGGGCGTAAGCTTGAAACTGAGGAGAAGGGCATGACAGCGCTCATGTGGGCGGCCAAGCACGGCCATCAGGAGATAGCCCGGCTCTTGCTGAGCCTTGGACGATTCTAGCCCAGCCTTTGGTGGCCGGGTTGGGCTTTCCTCCCCACCTGCCAGTTTCTTCATGTGGCCATCAGTCCCGTTTTCACTCAGGAAGTGAGAAAATGCTTATAGGAAACCCAACCAGCACACTACCAGCACCATCCGTTTGTCACCTGGAGCTCGCGTGAGGAATGCCGGGGAGCACACGGGGCGCAAGGACTTCGCGGGTCGACTGGCCTCAGACCACGCGCAGCAGCACGCCGCGATGCTGGCGCTGCTGGAGGCCCGCAAAGCCTGGTCCAAACCTGGACCGCCAGGACCACCCCCCCCTGTCAGGTTCCATGTTTAGTGGGTGGGAGGGTACATGTCCCATGGTGACATCTGGTGAAGAACGATCGACATGGTTAACACTTACTCTTGTTGTATTTTGATCATGTGTTGGCTGCTCGCGTTGCACGGGGGACGTGCCGTGCGTCAGCCGGGCTTGCTGCAGGCAACTGCCCGGGTGAATCAGCGCATGCTGGTGGCTGCACAGCGCAATGACCTGAAGAAGGTAGCCAAGTGTTTGGGCGAACCTCGGCGTCATTGAGTTGTTTGTTTCTTCCCCCTTTTCAGTGACGCGTTTGCATAGTTGAAGTGAACATCGTTTGCCGATGAATGTGTAAGCAAATCGCCATGATCCTCCATGATTCAGCTGACGCTGCGTCAACCCGAGCGTCAAGATGCCAAGAAGCTTTGAACTGGACAGTTCCTTCACAGAAATGCTCCATGCTGAAGAGGCCAAGAGTCGGTGCTGCAAGGTGCCAATTGCATTTGTGTGCAAAGTTCGCTTCAAGTGGCAGTATCCCCGATTAGGAGCCAAAGAGACGCAAAGAGAAGACTGTGCATGACACACCTAATTGAGATGAAAGTCAGCAAGCCAAGGAAGGGGCGCAAGTGAACCACGTCGACGATGAAGGTCATAGCGCTCTACTGTGGGCCGCTGTGCATGGCTCAGTGCCTTGGAAAGCTTTGAGCCCCGGTCCATGTGTTGCCAGGTCTCGGAATCGAAAGGGACTTGTGCTTTTCAACAGCCGGGAATCGCCTGTCCACTGTGTGGCATGGTCCCGAAAGCTGGCCAAAGAAGAGGCGTTGCTTGGTGGCTGTTGGGTGAGATTGTGGGCAAGGGGGCACCACTAGAACCTGGAAAAATGGAGGAGGTCACGGGCCCGCCGGGCGTATTTTGCACATTGGGGTGCGGAAGGGGTCCCTGGCCAGATGATTTGCCATTTGGCCATGGGGCATAACCTATGGCTCCCTTTTCGGGTGGATGAACATGCATTTGCAACCTATTTTAATGTTCACCAGGGGTACAGGGTTTCGACCCACAGCCATTTGTTTGGCTTGTTTGGGATGGGCTGGCTTCCCACCTGCTGCCGGTACGTCTTGCCAGGGCGCATGTGTGTCTTTGTCTTCTTAGATTGCAAATTCGACGTTTCTGGTGCACAAGAGTCGGGAAGCGGATGCCTAGAAGAGGGAGTGTCTACAGCAGCTGGTGAAAGGCAGCACTTCCCCAGACTTCGATCCGTTCTCTCTCAAGTTCCTTTGAAAGAAATGGCGTGATCTTACACAGCTCTGATCCCAACTTGAATAGGAGAGCTTTTTAATTCAATAGTCAGTTTGCCAAGATTCCACATGCATGCTTCCTCCATCTTTTGTTACAAGGCCAAAGCTACTGTTGGCTTTGAACGGCCCCTTTACATCAATTACTTGCCAGCATGCCCAATAAAATTGTCTCCGGATAGAGGCCGTGTTTTTCTGCCTGAAGCACATCCGAAACCCCAACTCCAAACCCAGCCCACATTCCCAGAACTCCGTTGGCCTTCGGCCTATTGGCCCCATGGAAACGCCGAAAGCGCAGGTCACAATGATGCAGTTGCTCTTCAAGTTCGGCGCCAGCACTCGCGTCTTGGAGTCCTGCGCTGTGGACCTGGACAACACCATTCATCAGCACAGATTCCTGGCAGTCAGCGTTCCACGAAGCATCCCCTAGCTTTGCAGCTTTGAAACAAACATGAAAATAAACCCTGACGCCCCTTCCAACTGGAAATTGGGGAGTTGCCAGCACTTCGTTCACGCGTGCAGAGGACTTTTCCAAGTCCCAGCAAATTTGCAAATTCAGGACGGGTGGTGGACGTCCTACAAGCCGCAGATGGAGCAAATGCCCCATGACAGCAATTCTTAGCTCCTGACCGAGCTGCGAGGAGGAATGTGTCTGCACCATGAATGTATCTGAGCTTTCTGAACATGAGCCATTATTCGAGGGCCTCAGCGTCATTTGAGGTCATGTTGGTCGCTTGGTATCGCTTGGTATCGGACTCACTCTAAGGCGCGGTTGCTGCACTCAGCCTCGTTAGCGGACTGGACGGGCGTTCGACGGGCGCCCGCGGCTCAGTTGAACGTTTGAGACACAAGGCCGGAATCTGACACCAACCAGGGATTGGGTGGCTTGTTTTCCTGCTGGCTTTTCCCCGAAAACACGCCATGACTTTTCCTTTGGGTTGACCCTTTCGAGGCTTTAGCTAATTCTGGTAGAGTGGAGCTACCTGAAGATTCCCGCCAAGAGACCTGCAGCTGCCCATAGGTTGGAACAATGCGCCTTTGCCGGGGGCTGAGGGAAGACCCAGCTACCGTCAGCCTTGCCAGTCGAAAGCATCCTGAGGGTTTCGTTGCAACTTGCGCCTGAACGGCCGCCCACTGCGCTGGAATGGTAAAATCATCATTCCAAGAGTATGCTCCCCTGAAGTTTGAGAATCTTGCCCAGCGGGCCTTTCAATTCCTGGCCAAAGTTGAACTGCAACCTGGGCACTCAGAGCTTGCAATACAGGGTCGTTTTTCCCACCTCCGCTGGCCTGCGTGGCTTTCCTGCTGTTCGTGGCTTCTTGGCTGGCATTTCTACTTGGCGGCAAAGCGCCCTTGTGGCCGTGACTCGCGGCTTTGCGTTTGGCTTCCGAGCTTCGGGCATTCGGCATCGCCATGCCCCGACCCTCGACCCATGCCAACTCAAGTCTCCCCCAGCCTCTCTGCGCTGAATCAGGCCTAAACCCATCCGAAACCCTACCCTACTTGCCACCCTTTGCCAGCCCGGAGACGGCCAAGGATAGGTGCAGAGTTCATTCTTTGTCCTGCCAGTGGAAGGCATCACATGTTTGCTTTCGCCAAAGTCCAATCAGGAGCAAGCCTGGTGACTCCCAATTCAGTGAAGCAAATGGAAGCGTTCTGCGGTCTTCAAGACGAGCCTGCTCGGATCTCGCCCATGAACCTTGGTGCGACCATCCAAGAGGAGTGGCACAGCCAACAGAAGATGTCAAAGATGCCAGCTTCACTAAGCCGTGAAGCTGGGCCTTGCCGGTTTCTGGAATGCCGCTGCAAATACTGGCAGCTGCCTGATTGGCATGAAGCAACGGGCAGTTGGGAGCTGGCTACTGCGCTTGTCTCGGTTCTTCTTTTGTTTGCGCCTTCCTTTTTTGACTGCTGCAGTCCTTCTTGTTTTCCGTGATCACATTCCTCTATTGCTGGTTCGCTTTGGTGGTTTCCTGATTGCCTGGCTTGCTTGCTTGCTTGCTTGCTTGCTTGCTTGCTTGCTTGCTTGCTTCCCTGCTTCCCTGCTTTCCTGCTTTCCTGCTTTCCTGCTTTCCTGCTTTCCTGCTTTCTTCCCGCCTTCTTGCCTGCCTGCCTGCCTGCCTTCCTTGCTTCCTTGCTTCCTTGCTTCCTTGCTTCCTTGCCTCCTTGCTTCCTTGCTTCCTTGCTTCCTTGCTTCCTTGCCAACTGTCTCTGGACTCGTCCTTGCATTTGGCCGTGCCAGTGTGTTTTTTTCAGAGCTGCGTGTCTCTCTTCTTGTATTTACCGTGACCTGTTCCTTCCGCATATGGACAGGCGTTGAACTCATTGCGTGGCCCATGGCCCTGCCTTTCAGCATCACTTGCCACACTTCAGTCAGCAACCAATGGTCAATCATGGCAAGCTGCAATCTAAGCCTAGACGAATCAAGTCACCTCGGCGCAGATAGTTTTTTTTTTTTTTTTTTCCGGGTCATTTGCCGTTTGGATCTGGAAATACGAGCACGCAAAATTGGCCTTTGTCACTTTCTCCAAGTGGTTCATCCAGCCACGATGTCTTGCAATCAAGTGGAAGAAGGTACAGTCGGGCCATGTAGGGCCTCTTGCTAAGCAGTAGGAAGAAGTCAGCAGAAGGCGCGAGTATTCTGTGGTTTGCGGCGCACTGCTGTCTATGTTTGGCGCTGGGACCAATGCTGAGGTGAACACGAGGGACGACATCAGCTCGGGGCCCGGCTGTGCAGGTCACAGTGCACATGGCATTTGAGAGATTGCGCCATGACGCACCTGCCTTCACGTTGGTTTTGATATGTTTTGATTTGTGTCAATAGTTGCGCGCATGCATTTGCATTGGGAGCAGCGAGCAGGTGTCGAACTTGGATGAGGGCATGAGTGATTGATGTTCTTGGCAGGGCTAGTCTCCCACATGCTGTTGACCGGTGGATTTTGCAAGTCAGCAGTCAGGCAGGTGTTTGCTGGCTATGCTGAAGCTTCAGCACATTGAGCAAACCGTGTTCTGTCCATGCCTAGCTTTGCCATCGCCTTGCGAATGGCTCCCGCCCAGATCACCGCACCGCCTTGTCCTGGGCCGCCAGCCGGGATCCCAGCCGAGCGAGGGCCGGCGTGCGTTTTAGTGATGCGTTGACCGCAAGCAGTGAAGCCATGAGGCACCCCCCCCCTCTCCCCCCGATTTTCCCTACCTACACCCGGTTTTTGTTTATTGGGGGGGTCCCCGACCCCCGGATTCTTGAGGTATGTTGGGTTTTTTATGTTTTGGCATGGCTCGAAAGTCGACGCTTTCAATGATTCGTTGCGGCTCCGGAGGCTACGGGGCGGTGGACATTATTCACACGCTGGCCCGGGCCTGTGCCCAGCCGGGGAGAGCAGAAGGATTGACAGGGGGCTGCCCCAATGCTGCTTGTGTCTCTGATTATGGTTCCTTTATCAGTCCAGCTTTGCTTGGTGATGAGCCATGGCGGCATGTGCAGCAGGGGACGTGAGGATTGTGTGCAATTCGCATTGCGGGGCGTACTGCCTTTGCTGCTTGCAACTCCACTGGACAAGTCATGGCCTGCTGCATTTTAATGCATGTTGGCGTGCGCTTTGACAAATGTGCGTTTGGCCCTTGAGCTGGGGAATGGTGACACTTCACAGCGCCCAGGTGAAACAGAAGGCAGAAGTGGGAAGCATGGACGACCTGAGCTCAGCCGGGTCTTCGACATGTTATTGATTCCCCTCAGCCAATCTCACTCGGAAGAAACTGTCATAGTGATTTGACATGGCAACACGACGAAGTTCTCACAGCACCTTTTGTGGTTTTCCACGCTGATTCCTGAACACTCGCTGAGGCGGGCGGCTGGCGACCTTTCCACTTTGCCGTGAGCGGTGGTCACATCGAAGCCACGGCATTGCCCCTCCAGCACTTTGAAGATCGACCTTGTTTGTTGCGACCGCTGCCAAATGCCAACTTATTTGGCCATTGACCGACAGGTTG